GGTGGCGGACTTGCACGATGAGCTCAGGGATACCCACGCGGATGTGGTTCAGCAGCCATAGCAGCGTGTGGTCATCGGTCGTATCTGCCAAGGGGCACAGGGACCAATGGCTCTTGCCAGGAGTGACAGGGGAGCAGCCCAGCTCGGGGGAATTCAGAGTGGGCCCTGGGCGGGTGAGCACAGACAGGTACCTGGGAAGGTCATCAACACGTCACAGTTCTCCGTGGGCACCGTCTTCATCCATGCTTTGTGAGACACCAGATACCGACCCACCTGCAGGAGCCGCTTCCCAAAAAGCTTATCTGGGGAGAAGGCAGGGCAGGTTGGGGTCAGGTCAGTCTCAGATGGCCTGGCCTCCAGTCTTAGTCTCTCCAAACCTTGCCCCTGATCACACATTCGCAGGGATCCTTGGCACTCAGCTTGGCATTCAAGGCCTTATGAGCTCTATCCCTGGCTTGTTTCCTTCCCTCCACGTCCTTGTACCAGCCAGGCCCTTCTCCAGGAATGCCCTTCCCCCAGGTCCTCCCTTACAAATCTTACTCATTCTTGAGGCCCAGCTCCGCCTCCGAAACCACAATCGATGGGGCGCTCACTAGCAGCTCTGAGCGCCTCACCACATTATGTCAGCGTCTCCTCATAGCTGGGTGCGGTTCTTACCCCCATTTCACAGGCAAGGAAACTGAGGCCGAGCATTTAACTCACGCGCCCAAGGTCACAGAGTCCAGAAGGGATTTGAACCTAGGACTGTATGATTCTGTATCCTCTGTGGAGAGGCTGTCTTGAGCGCATCACTGCTCAGCAGCGATCGCGTAGCCCAAGGGGTGACTGGGCTTAGTCCCGCACCGGGGCTCTAGGAGGGGCGTGTCCATATCTCTGCGCTGGGACCCCACACCCGCTGCACCGTTCCAGCCGCGCTCGCCCGGCCGGCCGCAGCCGCAGTGCCGGGAAGAGCCGGTGCCTCGACTGGACTCCAGGCCCGGGACGGCTGACTCCAATATCCCTCCCCGTAGACCTGCCGCGAGCACCCCAGGCACCTGCAACCCTGTCAGATCCAGGCGCTGCACACGTACCCAGAACTCCGGACGCCGGGGCTGCAGGCTCGCCCTCCGGAGGGGGCCTCTTGCCACGCTCGCCCTCCAGGGACGTGCCCCCAGCGCCGGAGGTGGCTTCCGCCATTGCGAGGGCAGGTCAGGTCAGGGGCTGCGGGCGGCCCAGGCGCCGGGGGGCCGCGGGCTCATGGGGCCGGGGCAGCCACCGAGCGCGCCTGAGGAGGAGACAAAGGCCGCGCCCGCCCGCGCCGGCCGCCGTCCCCGCGTGCCCGAGCGCTGCTTCTCGTCCCCGCCCGCGCGGAACCTCGATTCTCCTCGGCCCCGCGCGCGTCGTTCTCTGGTTCTCGACTCCGCCCGTGATGTTTTCCGAGTTTCGTTCTCGCCCGCCCACCTCGCTCTCTGGTGTTCGTCCCCGCCCGCGCCGAATGTTCATTCTCCTCCCTGTCCCCGCCCGAATCGTGGCCCCATCTCGACACCGCCCTCCCTGGGCCTGGATCCTCTGCCTTAAAGCCTTAGTTTCCCCATAGGTTTGGAATCTGAGATGGTCTTGCGGGTAGGTGGTGTGGGGTGGGCTTGTGGGGGGGGGGGGAGGAGCCTGGTCTCTGGAGATTCCCGGTAGCAATAACTCCAACCACCACGGGGAGAATGAGAATAAGTGTATCATGCCTTAGTACATGCTGTTCCTTACCTAGGACACTTTTCAAGCCCTCTTTGTCCAGGGAACTGCTGCACCCTTCAGGATGAAACGTCCTCAGAGAGGACGCGGTAGAGTTACCAAATTTCAGTTCAGTTCAGTCTCTCAATCGTGCCCGACTCTTTGCGACCCCACGGACTGCAGCACGCCAGGCGTCCCTGTCCATCACCAACTCCCGGAGTTTACTCAAACTCATGTCCATTGAGTCGGTGATGCCATCCAACCATCTCATCCTCTGTTATCCCCTTCTCCTTGGGCCTTCAATCTTTCCCAGCATCAGGGTCTTTTTAAAAGAGCTCTTTGAATCAGGTGGCCAAAGTATTGGAGTTTCAGCTTCAGCATCAGTCCTTCCAATGAACACCCAGGACTGATCTCCTTTGGGATGGACTGGTTGGATCTCCTTGCAGTCCAAGGCACTCTCAAGAGTCTTCTCCAACACCACAGTTCAAAAGCATCAATTCTTTGGCGCTCAGCTTTCTTTATAGTCCAACTCTCACATCCATACACGACTACTGGAAGAACCATAGCCTTGACTGGATGGACCTTTGTTGGCAAAGTTCTGCTTTTAATATGTTATCCAGGTTGGTCATAACTTTCCTTTCAAGGAATAAGTGTCTTTTAATTTCACGGCTGCAGTCACTATCTGCAGTGATTTTGGAGCTCCAAAAAATAAAGTCAGCCACTGTTTCCACTGTTTCTCCATCTACTTGCCATGAATTGATAGGACCGGATGCCATGATCTTTGTTTTCTGAATGTTGAGCTTTAAGCCATCTTTTTCACTCTCCTCTTTCACTTTCATCAAGAGGCTCTTTAGTTCTTCACTTTCTGCCATAAGGTCCGAATATCTGAGGTTATTGATATTTCTCCTGACAATCTTGATTCCAGCTTGTGCTTCATCCAGCCCAGATTTTCTCATGATGTATTTTGCATATAACTTAAATAAGCAGGGTGACCATATACAGCCTTGACGTACTCCTTTTTCCTATTTGGAACTAGTCTGTTGTTCCATGTCCAGTTCTAACTGTTGCTTCCCGACCTGCATACAGATTTCTCAAGAGGCAGGTCAGGTGGTCTGGTATTCCCATCTCTTTCAGAATTTTCCACAGTTTATTGTGATCCACATAGTCAAAGGCTTTGGCATACTCAATAAAGCAGAAATAGATGTTTTTTCTGGAGCTCTCTTGTTTTTTTGATGATCCAGTGGATGTTGGCAATTTGATCTCTGGTTCCTCTGCCTTTTCTAAGTTTAACAAATAAAAATACAGTTGTCCTATTTAAATGTGAATTTCAGACAAATGAATAAATTTTTGTATGTCCCAAATATTACATGCTTCCCTGGTCACTCAGATGGTAAAGGAGCTGCCTGCAATGGCCAGAGACCTGGGTTCTATCCCTGGGTTGGGAAGATCCCCTGGAGAAGGGCATGGCAACCCACTCCAGTATTCTTGCCTGGAAAAATCCCCATGGACAGAGGAGTCTGGAGGGCTACAGTTCATGGGGTTGCAAAGAGTCAGACATGACTGAGCGGCTAACACACATACACGGACACACAAACATTGTATGGGTCATAATTATACTGACAGGATAATCCTTGTTCATCTGAAATTTACGTTTAACTGGGGGTCCTGGAGAATCCCAGGGACAGGGGAGCCTGGTGGGCTGCCGTCTATGGGGTCGCACAGAGTCAGACATGACTGAGTGACTTAGCAGGGGCTCCTGTATTTTGTCTGTCCTCCAACCCCCTGACCATCCTCTGAAGCCTCCTCCGTTAGACTGATCGACCATGAGGGCAGGGGCCCAGACTGATTCTCCGTGTTTACACGGTAGGCATTTGATGTGTACTTTTGACAGATGGAACAGCTTGGAGAGAGCCAACGTCATCATTCACTCCTCTTCTACACGTGAAAGAAAATTTTTTTGGACTTTTTATTTTTGTGGTGAGGTATAACCAATTAACAATGTTGTGATGGTTTCAGTTGAACAGCGAAGGGACGCAGCCAAACATATACAAGTATCCTTTCTTCCCTAAACTCCCCTCCCATCCAGGGTGCCAGGCAACATTAAGCACTAGGTGGTTATCCATATTAAATATAGCAATGTGAACATGTCCCCAAACTCCCTAACTGACAAATTAAAAAACTGAACAGAGCGAGGCGTGGAGCTAATCCTTAGAACAGTACTGTTCCAGTCTTCCCTAAGTATAGTTGCGCCACCCGCCCGCTCCGTCCAAGAACCAGAGAATTCGCCGCGTGACAGCACCCCGGAGACCCCGCCTATCCAGTGCCTGGAATTCCACCATCTGCGCTTTACTTCACGGGCCGGCGCTGTCCCGGGTTAACCTGAAAATAATCTCCCCTTTCTGGTTTTTGGGGAGCCAGAGACAGCCGGGACACACAACTCTGCACGAGGAGACCGGGGCCAGAGTAGCTCAGAGGGGAGAGAGGACTGTGCTGGGGATCCTAGGGAGGCTTCCTAGCGGAGGGGAACTTGGAGCAAGGCACTGAGGCTGTTTGTCAAGGGAAGGGTATCTGAGGCAGAGGGACGGCGGGAGGGAAGGCTGGGGAGGGGCGAGAAACTGTAGAGTTCCGAGAAAAGAAGTCTTCCCAGAAATTTGGAATAGATTCCCCCAGGGCCAGGGCGTAGGTTACCCGGAACTCATCCCTCCCGGCCCCTGAGATGCTCTTGAAAGTGAAAGGCACTCAGTCGTGTCCGACTCTTTGCGACCCCATGAACTGCAGCCCACCAGGCTCCTCTGTCCTTGGGATTCTCCAGGCAAGAATACTGGAGTGGATTGCCACTTCCTTCTCCAGGGGATCTTCCCGACCCAGGGATCGAACCTGGGTCTCCTGCATTTCAGGTAGATTCTTTACTGTCTGAGCCACCAGGGAAGCCCCCGAGATGCTCTTGCTTCGACTCAAACCCTCGCCTTTCGATAATTTCCATTGCCCTGCGCCACTCCTCATTTCCGGTGTCTAGGAACCTGGCCTCTCTAGGATCCTAAAAATTCTGTCTAATGTTGCTGGAGGAACACCATTTCACTGCACCGCCGCGGGAAAGCCCTCGGCTTCTTTCCCTGTCATTAGCCAGTAGAAGCGAAGACCTTCAGTGGATAGGCGGTACGTCTTCTAAGGGGCCCAATGATAATCGAGAATTGTTGAGCACTTGCCCAGTCACGCCGCGGAGTGGGCGGGACCTCCTGCGAGGACTTGCAGACCCGCACGGCAGGGTGGGCAGGCGGGTAGCTGGTTGTGAATCCATGTGGCGGGGGCTGTGGACCCTGGTATCCCGGGCTGCACGTGGGCCTCACAGGTGGGGTGAGCTGGGGGAGGGCTGTGACAGCATAGGGCGTTGCTTGGGCCCCAAACCCTCTCCCTGGGATCTGGGTCCGGTTCCCTGCGGCAGAACCACCTTTCGCCTCCGTCCAAGCCCCACCCCCGGCCGCAGAGCCCACAGAAATCCAGTCTTCTTCTGGCCTCAGAACCTCCGATCAGTCCATCCCCTAGCCACTAAACGTCCACTTGGGGGCTCACGCGACCATCGAGCCATCTATCCACCTGCCACTCTGGCGTCAGAGCTCAGATGCACTGACTCTCCTCCTCTCCAGTCCCAGACCGTGCACGCGCCAGGGCAGTCGTTACCCGGGCCCCGGTTCCGGAGCCACTATCTTCGCTCTGAGCTCTGGCCAAGGCCGCTGCGGCATCGCGGTGATCCGAACCAGCGGCCCTGCCAGCGGCCACGCCCTCCGGAGCCTCACGGCGCCGCGGGACTTACTCCCGGCCCGCAAAGCCTGCCTGCGCCTGCTCAGCGACCCCCGCTCTGGGGAGCCTTTGGATCGCGCGTTGGTGCTTTGGTTTCCAGGTACGGGACTTCAGATCCGGAACCTCAAGTAGCTCCTATGACCGTACTTCCTCCTTCCAGGCGTTCACCCGGGCTGTATCCTGCTGACACCCATCTCTTCAACATACTAGGTCCCCAAAGTTTTACGGGTGAGGATTGCGCGGAGTTCCACGTGCATGGAGGCCCGGCCGTGGTGAGTGGTGTCCTGCAGGCCCTGGGTAAGTGCGGCCTTGGGTTTGAGGTATTGCTACGCCGGTGACCTGGGTCACCTGACGCCAGGGGCCTCAGGATCTTGAACCTTCCCGCAGGCAGTGTGCCAGGGCTGAGGCCAGCGGAAGCAGGCGAGTTCACCAGGAGGGCATTCGCCCACGGGAAGCTGAGCCTGACGGAGGTGGAGGGGCTGGCAGATCTGATCCATGCAGAAACCGAGGCGCAGCGGCGACAGGCCCTGAGGCAGCTCGATGGGGAGCTGGGTGACCTATGCCGCGGCTGGGCCGAGACCCTCACTAAAGCAAGTACACCATTCGCTCATACCTTGCCGCAGAGACACTACCTAACCTTTTCCTGTGTTAGTGTTTCTTGCCTCCAATGAGCCTCCAATCTGGTCCCTTAAGGTCAGGCTGAACCCGGGCACCCACTCGGGGTGAGTTTCTGTATGATCACACTACCCACCTCTCCCTCCCTCAGGCTCTGGCCCATGTAGAGGCCTATATCGATTTTAGTGAGGATGACAACCTGGAGGAAGGCGTCCTGGATCAAGGTGGGTCCCCCTGGGGGTGGGAGGTGGAGATATCTGGCATCCAGCGCCCCCAGGTTCTCTTACTCTCTCTCTCCTTTCCTCCATCCACAGCTGATAGTGAGGTGCGGAAGCTGGAGGTAGCGCTGGGCGTACACCTTCGAGATGCCAGGCGTGGGCAGAGGCTCCGCTCAGGAGCGCACGTAGTGGTTGCGGGACCTCCCAACGCCGGCAAAAGCAGCCTGGTGAACCTGCTCAGTGCGTGGGCAGGGGGCGGGGCTCAGGGCAGGGGCGGGGCTCAGGGCAGGGGGCGGGGCTGGGAGCTAAGGTACTGGGCTTTCCGGGGTAGGGAAGGGGCCCTGGAGGTTGAAAACTGTCCGTCCGGGGGTGGAGCCTAAGGGAGGGACTCTCTTGTCTCCACCCCGCCCGCTTCCTCTGACCCCACCCCCACCCCCAGGCCGGAAGCCTGTGTCCATCGTGTCCCCGGAGCCGGGGACCACCCGAGATGTTCTGGAGACCCCCGTGGACCTGGCCGGGTTCCCGGCGCTACTGAGCGACACTGCGGGGTTGCGGGAAGGCGTGGGGCCTGTGGAACAGGAGGGCGTGCGGCGCGCCCAAAAAAGGTGAGCAGGTGGGAGGGGGAAACGCGGGCCCTTTGCTGTTTCTACCAGTTGCATTTATCTTTCATTAGTCCTTAATGAGGAAAGGTTACTAAGGTGGGGCCTCAGTTCTTTGGGGAGGGCAGCTTTTTAGGTTTGGCCTTACCCCCGTCCCTGCCCAGTGCACTTCGTTGTGCAGCTCTGGAGTCCATCCTCCATTTTCCCGCCTCCTCAGGCTGGAGCAGGCTGACCTCATTCTGGCCGTGTTGGATGCTACTGACCTGGCCTCTCCGGCCAGCTGCAACTTCCTGGACACCGTTGTCATCCCGGCAGGAGCCGGGAACCCCAGTGGGAACAGCCAGCGCCTCCTGCTTGTGCTGAATAAATCAGACCTGCTGCCCGCTGGGTGCTCAGACCCCCATCCTGACCTCCCCTCCCACCTGTTGCTGTCTTGCCTGACGGGTGAGGGACTGGACGGCCTCCTAGAAGCACTCAAGAAGGAGCTGGCTGCACTGTGAGCCCCCTTGCCTGCTGGGCAACCTCGCTCTGTCCAAGTTTGGGGGCTTAGCCAGTGGCTTTGGGTACAACTGGCCCTGCCAGCTCAGTTTCTGCATCTAAAAACGGGGTATGATCGTTCCCCTCCCCCCGACTTTGAATGTCGAGAGAGACCTTATCCTTTGTCCCTTCCAGGTGTGGGGACCCGTCCACAGGCCCACTTCTGACACGGTCGAGGCACCAGCACCACCTCCAGGGCTGCCTGGATGCCCTTGGTCAGTACAAGCAGGCCAGAGACTTAGCCCTGGCGGCCGAGGCGCTTCGGGTAGCCCGAGGGCATCTGAGTCGTCTCACTGGCGGAGGGGGCACTGAGGAAATTCTGGATATCATCTTCCGGGACTTCTGCGTGGGCAAGTGAGGGGGCAGCTGAAGCTCAGACCCAGGCTGGAGGAGCACCCAGAAGCCTTGGGGTGTCTGGGAACAGCGTAGGCCAAGTGGGGGAACTTGACCCCAAACCACGAAGCCTCTGTTGCTGGTAGTGACTGAACAGAAGCCGGCCAGATTTCGGGGGTTTGGCCCTGAGTGGGGCTGAAGGGAGGTCCTCTGGGGCACAAAATGCTGGGGTAGGAGGAGTGGAGGATCAAGACAGAGGTCGAAAGGTCTCAGAAGTTTTTGTTTTATAGTTTTTAATTTATTTTGCAAACCAAAGAAAGGTAAAAAATGGGTGATCCAGAAATATTTGAACACCCTCTCCTTGGTTGTTGTATCCTTCCAGAACTTTTTATGCATGTTTGCATACTTGTGGATATGCCTATAAAATATATTTTTTCTTGTATTTTGTACACAAATTGGTGTTTATTGCTCTGCAAACTGTCCTTCCCCATCACCCACCACCACCACCACCACCACCACCACCCTGCACCACACAGCATGCAGGATCTTAATTCCCCAACCAGGGATTGAACCAGTGCCCCTCTGCTGTGGAAGCTGGGAATCTTAACCACTGGACCGCCAGGGAAGTCCCAAGCTGTCATTCCTTTTGTGGTATTAATCTTGAAACTTTGCTTCTTTTATCCTCAAAGTGACTTGCAAAATCCCTACTTCCTCTCCAAGCTTAGTCGTTAGTCACTCAATGACTATCAAGTACCTACTATGTAGTAGAATCACACCCATCATTTGATTGGATCTTCATAACAGCACAGTGCAGTAGTTATGTTGTCATAGTTTTACAGATGAGGAAACTGAGGTCCAGAGAAGTATTTAGTTGCTGAAGGCCCCCAGCTCTGGGATTTGCACATAAGGTTAGATTTCAGTTTGAGTTCACTGTGGGCCTGCTGGGTGACAGACTGAGGGGAGGGGGCTGGAAACAGAGGGGAGTAAGCAGGCATCACTCCTGCTCCTGTTTGTTTCTCTTTTTTTTAAATTTTCAGTTGTGCTGGGTCTTCATTGCGATGCATGGGCTTTCTCTAGTTGCAGAGCATGGGCTCCAGAGTGTGCTGACTTCAGTAGCTGCGGTGGGCGGGCCTAGTTGTCCCCGGGATGTGGGATCTTGGTGCCCAGACCAGGGATCGAACCTTCCTCCCCTGCATTGGAAGGAGGATTCTTAACCACTGGAATGCCAGGGAAGCCCCCACTCCTGCCCTTATTAAAGAAGAAACAGCTCCTTTTGGTGAGGTTGGATGCTTGCTTGCTCTGTCCCTTAGTCGTGTCCAACACTTTGCAACCAATGGGCTGTAGCCCTCCAGGCTCCTCTGTCCATGAGATTATCCCAGCAAGAATACTGGAGTGGGTTGCCATTGCCTCCATCAGGGGATCTTTCCAACCTCGGGATCAAACCCATGTCTCCTCTGACTCCTGCGTCAGCAGGTGGATTCTTTATCACCGAGTCACCTGGGAAACCTGAGTTCTGAAGGCTGCTGGGCAAACTTACGATGAGGAGACCTGACCTGGTCAGGGATGGATGTGAGGGTAGACATGGAGTTTACTCTGACATCTGAAAGGTGAGAAGAAGACAGGAGGGGCCAGCAAGAACGTCGCAGTCAGAAGGCAGGGCATGTGCAAAGGCCCTGAGGTGGGAGCATCACAGTGTATTTGAGGGGCAGCGAGGTGGCCAGTGTGGCTGGAAGTAGAATGAGTGAGCGCTAGAAGGGAGAAAGAATCCAGGAGAGGAGGGCCTGATAGTGAAGCCTCTGACTATGGGGACTTACGGGGGATCTGGGCTTCTCTGATAACTCAGTTGGTAAAGAATCTGCATACAGTGCAGGAGACCTGGGTTCGATCCCTGTGTTGGGAAGATCCCCTGGAGAAGGGAACAGCTACCAAATCCAGTATTCTGGCCTGCAGAATTCCATGGGGGGGACTATTGTCCAAGAGGGAGGCTGTGGTCACAAATTGTTGGACAGGACTGAGCAACTTTCACTTATAGGGGATCTGCTGTTGAGGTGAGGAACCAGCAGAGGGCGCTTTGCCCTAACAAGAAAGGTGCCCAACACCAGTGAAATTCCAGCCCCCTAAGGTCCCAGGGATCCAGGCTTCCACACCTACCTGATGGCTTATGAATAGTTAACTCCCCTTTTGCCAGAGGTGGAAATGGAGTCTCAAATAGGGTCAAGCTCTTTTTCAGAAAAAAAAAAAATCTCCACCTCCAGTAGTTGAAGATAAAAACAAACTCTCAGGTTTCAAGGAACACAGGAGCAGAGGCTGGGACGTGTCCAGGGCCCATCATGCAACCATAGGGACCCTCTGACTCCATTTCGTCATGGCTTCATTGCAATATGTCACTCTCTGTTGGTCTGTTTGCTTGTTTGACAGCTGGGGTCCCCTCTGAATGGGGGGCTCCTGGAAGGGAAGGGTCACCCCAGTTCAGTCCGTGGATATTACTATTAGGTCCATTTTGCAGAAAGACAAGAAGCATCAATGTGGGTGTAGAGAGGGTGGGTGCCCAGATATCCTTTGCGTGGGGAGGGTCTGGAGGGCTCCCAGCAAGGTGGAGTGGGGTCCGGGTGGGGAGGAAGATGCTCTTGGGAAAGGATGCCTCAACCCCGCCCACCTACCCTGTCCCTGGCACATCACGGACTGAGGTCCTTGGCTACAGTCTCTTTTTTCCAAGAAGGGGGAGGCGGTTTGTGGGAAGCAGGCATGGGGATTATTTATAGAGGTCACAGGAAATACCCAAAGAGTCAGGACCTCACCCAGTGGCTGGACCACAGGATCAGGGAGGGGGTCTGCCAATTGCTCCCCGGCTAAGACTCACCCCCCACCTGGCTCTCAGGGCAGGGCGGGGTCGGCATAGGGCCTCAGCCTGGAGAAGTCAGAGCTCCAGGATCAGGGCAGGAAAGAGGGAGGGATGGCGTAGGGGAAGTACCCAGATGGAGCAAGAACTCTGGGGCATCCAGAGGGGCTGCCAGGAGGAGCGATCTCTAGGGCGGGGCCTTGGGGAAAGAGGAATTGGCAGGCGGCGAGAACAAAGCATTCATTCTAGTCTGAGGGCACAGTACAGATGCAAAGTCAATGAGTCTTCGGTCAAAGAGTCACATGTCTAGAACAGCTGGAGGCAAAGGCTGCACTGGGTGTGGGGAGGAAGGGCCCAAGAGAGCTGAGGAATTGGGCCTTATTCCCAGGGCACCAAGGAGCCGTGGAGGGGGTGGGAGTGGGAGAGACGCGTGGTCAGGTCCCGGGATGGATGATCCCTCTGGACCAGCACAGAGGCTACAAAAGGAGGCAGAGGCTGAGGCCCAGTGTTGGAGGTCTGACCTGGGACCGGGCTGTGCTGTGCTTAGCCCTCGGTCGTGTCCCACTCTTTGCGACCCCATGAACTACAGACCACCGGGCTGGTTGGGAGGTTGATATCCTGGGATGTTCTGAATGGGAAAGACCAAGCAAGAGCCAGAGACCTGCATCCCTGGGCCCAGAGAGTTTAGGATGATGATTGTTTTTTAATTTATTTATTTTAATTGGAGAATAATTACTTTACAATATTGTGATGTTTTTTGCCATACATCAACATGAATCGGCCACAGGTATACATGTGTCCCCCCCATCCTGAATCCCACTCCCTTGTATTATTATTATTACATTCATTTCTAGGTGAGTAAATGGAGTCTGAGATCAACAGAGCCAAAATTTGAATGCAAGAGCGTCGGGGTTTGGAACCCAAACTCAGGACCGTCTGCTGTCAGCGTCCTCCCTAGGGCTCCTTACTCCTGGCTGCTCAGGCAGTAGGCTCAGGGTCAGGGACGTCCCGGCTTCCTTGGGGCCTCCAGACGGGCCCGTCTGGGCGGCTGGGCCTGGCTGACCCTCCTGCCCTTGCTTGGCGGGGCCCCAGCCGAGTGTTTCCTGCAGCGGCCTGTCTTTCGCCCGGGGTTTCCGTATCCAGGAAATATCGCTCCTTTGTCCCTTCTGACCAGCCTGCCCTAAGCGTGGCATTGCCAGCCCTGCCTCCTCGTGACTCATCTCCTCCCTCCAAGGTCCCGGGGGATGGGCTGGGCTGGGGGGATGCAGGACTGGGGACAGACAAGCTGAGACTCTAGATGACAGTTTTTAGGCCGTTCTCCCACCGATGACCATTTGCTTTGTTTCCTGGAGTTTTTGCTTCTCAGGGACAAAGTGCTAGGAATAGGGTTGCAGAATCAAAGGATTTGTATGTCTTCACTCCCCACCACCCCCAACCCCCGCCCGGCATTTCACAACTTGTGGGATCTTAGTTCCCTGATTAGGAATTGAACCTGGACCCTTAGCAGTGAAACCAAGGAGTCCTAACCACTGGACTGCCAGGGAATTCCCTGCCTTCACTTTTATTAAATATCATCAAACTTATTTCCAAAAGGGCCAGGATGAGATGGACATTTCTACCAGTCCTATAGGAAAATGCCCTTTTTTCTACATCTTCACAAGCAGTAGGGATTATGGCTTTTTATCCTTTTCCTTCCCCCCCATCCCAGTCTAATTGGTATGATGTGATTTCCCTGGGTCCCTCTAATGTGCAAAATTTCCCTGGCTTCCTACTTCTTTAGTGATCGGTGAGTTTAAGTGCTCCCACACTGGACACCGATGCCCTTTCTAACGTCTACTTTCCCACCAAAAATCCCCCCAAAAAACAAATGCTTGGGACTTTTGTGAAATTGTTCTGGAATACGGAGTTCCTAACAAACAGGCTGTGGTTCCTCATAGCCTGTTCCTCATTGTCTGTACCTGGGGGAGTCTTTGCAAACCTACCAAAAACAAAAAGTGAAAGTGAAGTCGCTCAGTCGTGTCCAACTCTTCGTGACCCCATGGACTGTAGCCTACCAGGCTCCTCCATCCATGGGATTTTCCAGGCAAGAGTACTGGAGTGGGTTGCCATTTCTACCACAAACAAAAGTTACAGGTAAATAATCTGCTTTTTCAGAAACTGATTTGTATTTATTTAAGAAACTGCCT